AAATATTGTTGTCCAAAAATTATTTTTAAAAATATTACTTGATAAATATTATTATTCAACATTTTAGTAGCAATTTATTATTGCAAGAATACTTTCTACATCCATTTATACTAAAACAGATAATTAACAACCAATAGTTAGTCCAATAAATTGGTGGTCTAAAGTATATATTTATAATATATATTTCAGTTTAATTTATAATTCCAAAAATTGATTCTAAGGTTTCCTTTGAATAAACAGACATTTTGTTTAAAAATAAATGGTGATTTAAAGTATACGTTTATAATATATATTTCAGTTTAATTTATAATTCGAAAAATTGATTTAAGGTTTCCTTTGAATAAACAGACATTTTGTTTAAAGATAAACGATGGTCTAAAGTATATATTTATAATATATATTTCAGCTTAATTTATAATTCCAAAAATTGATTTAAAAAACTTTCTTTAGACATTACTACCTTCGACGAAAGATGATTTTTAATTTAATATAAAACTTGTAAGCTTCCTTGAACTATTTATCTGTATATTTAAACTCGTAACTACATAAAGGTTACAACAGAGTCTAAATGCAAACATAACCTCAACATAAAACTATAAAAATACCCTTTTTTCTCTTGAGGTTCAATTTTGATTCAATCTTGATAGAAAAGTTTCGGAGTAATCTTATAGTTACGAAGCACAATATAGATATCAAGTATATTTCGAGAGATCGAACGTATTTTAGACTCCTAGTTGAGATTATCCCCCTAACCTCTTTTTCATAAAAGTTACTGTTATGTACAAGGTAATTCACCTAACTTTGTCACCTGAAATACCTCTACTATAATTAAAAATTAACATTTTGTAAAATCAATAATTTCTTCAAAAAATAAGATATTAATTTTCTTTTTTTTTTTTTTTACTATTATTATAAGCTTTTCGTCGCATAAACTGCTAGATCATTGGGAACACTTGGTGAATGTGTGCTATATATTATTTACGGTATTTTTGCAGACACTTTAGCTCCTTTTATGAATTATAATAAATCGCGACATTTTATCCGCTTTTTAATGTAATATTATAATAAACTTCTACTTAATTTTCAGTTATTATTCAATTATCTTATTATTTTATAATAATAAATTATTATATAAGTCGAACTTTAATTTAAAAAATTTTTTTATATATCTGATAATTTTTATGTTTCAATTATTTGTTATTTTTGTGCTTTTAATAGTTGAATGCTTCAATTATTTTTAATTTTTATATGCTTACTATTTTAATACTAGAATTAACGTTAATTTTGCCAAAAATCATATATGTTTAATAATGACAAGAATAAAGAATCTGAAATTATTAACTTATTTAATAGTTTAGTGTTAAACACGCATACAGTGTTAAAGGAAAAGTGTGTTATATCAGATCCATATTTCTCTACCTATATAACTGAAATATATCTTACATAGATGGATAAAACTATAATTATAACATAACAAAGAAAATAAAATGAAATATATTAGGTGAAGTAAAAAGAAATCCATTATTTTTGTATGAAATTGAATAATGCAAAAGTAATGAATTTCTTTTTATAAATACAAATACTGGAATATTCAGGTGGTGGCCAACATTGTTAACTTACTTCGTCTTTCATTGTATTAGTTATAGTAAAAATAATCGATTTCTTTTTACTTCACCTAATATATAAATTAATATTTGGATCTAGAAATTACACGATAAAGTTACTTCCAAAAGTTTTTGCAGTAAGACTATGCATACCAAATGTTAAAAAACATTATATTACAGTATAGTTAACTTTTATAATTTGAGAATTTTTTGACTTAATCAATAAGCTATTTTAACATAATTAGATTCTCAAAATTAAAAACTTTGTTTTCAATAAAAAAGATTATAAATGTTTGTAAATGTCTGTAAATTCAAATAACTTTCTTCCATTTTCCTTTTATTTCCTCCTACAAATTATTATTTTAATCTTCTCATGATAACAGCAATCGTGTGTAAAGAGTTGATATAAAACATAATATTCGTCGTCATAATGAGAGAGTTGAATGAAGAATTAAATTGTACGTGTTAAGAATCTAAGAGAATTAAATTTATTAGTTATTTCGTGAATTTATATTGATCACATTGGAATCACATGGAACAAGTTTCACAAAATCATAGTAAATTAAATAGTTAAATAAAGATGGCAACTATATGAATGGAGAATGATTTAAATCGCCACCTTCATTTTGGTAAACTTTCCATAAAAAGAAATTATTATTTTTATTTATTATTTATTTATTATTTTTATATTGTGAATTGCTGTTCAGGAATAGAATAAAAAATAGAATATCACCAGATGAATCAGACTCCAGAAGAATCAAACGAAACAAACAGTTTAGACGATGATTTCATATTTTGTATTTTTTACCTATAGAGAGAAGCTGAAAAATATACGTATAATATATGAAAATCAGATACCGAAAGTAGATATGCTATCAACATTATAAATTCGAAGGAAAAATATACCTATTTTAATTATATAAAACAAATATATTATGTAAATATTATTATATATTATGATAACATAAACGAACATTAATTAATCACAATTATGAGAAGAAATTATAGAAGAAATTATTTATATAATTATATTGCATTATATTATATTGTATTATTATTATATGTGTATTATTATTAATTAATGTTATATTATTTATATATTAATTATATTAAACAAATATATTATGTAAATATTATTATATATTATGATAACATAAACGAATATTAATTAACCACAATTATGAGCATAATTATAAAATAACAATAAGATGTAAATGAATATTTATTTCAAACTAGATATTTTTAGAAAAATCTTCGAACACGTATTATAAATTTTGAAAATAATTTAAAATTATCTAAAAAATCTAAAAATACATTTTCTAATATTTCTTCTATTTCTTCTATTCCAATTTAAAATTAAAAAATCAAATTTTGGGAATTTTAAAGTCACAGAAAAAATTCACATTATAATCCTAAATCCTATTTTTGAGAGATATTTTGCGTACACAACGAGAAAATATTTTTCAATTTATCCACAGGAAAGGTTGTAAATATCTCGAAATGAAGAATACATGTCTTAGGCCACTCTCGTAATTAATGTCACATAATATATGTATATAAAATGTCCCATGGGTTGCTATACAAACTTTGCCTCTATTAGGTCTAAAAATAAAACAAAAATTTCACGTAAACATAAATGTATGAATATCGTGTCGCAAACTTCTAACAAAACTATGAAAAATGATGAAGATACTATACTTATATATTCCCGCATTTCGAACTGCCAGCCATATTCGAATCTAACAGTGGCGTAGTATCTAATTTATTTACCAAATGAAAAGCAACTCTTGTACCAGCACAAACTATAGACATTACTTATCTATTCTTGTCCTGCGTTATATAAAAATTATAATCATTATACTTTCCTTCGCATTTTTTATTCTTTTTATAACTGTTTAATAAGTCATTAATGGGACTATATTTATATGAAATCTTTATCCTACTTCTCGCTAACAAAGTTTCTATAGAAATCTGCGAAACAGCCTATATAAAGTGCAATATGTAAAAAGGTCAAGTAATTATTCGATAAAACGAATAAAAAATATTCTATTACCATAGGTCAAGAAATTAATTCCGAGGAAAGTATAAATACTCTATATTATCTGCTAGCATCATCCCTGTCACGTGACAATTAAGGATTTTGATAGAATTTTTTGGAACCGAGTCAAAATGTCACATCAGGATATTTGTGTAATTGAAAAAAGTGAGAATTAAATATAATTTTTAATTGTATATAGGACTGTATTTAAATTTCTCTTTCGTATCGAGGATCAGTGGATCGAAATATGCCTTCGTTTAACAAACATTACTCTTAGGTATCTACTGTCTGGGCCATCGATGACGCACATGACACGAAACTTGTTAAAGTCGATTGTGTAGGAAATACGATAAATTATGACGCACAAAACAGTATACCGGTTATACAATTTTGAACCACGAGTTTTTGAAAGTAGTTACTTCCTATAATGTCAAATCGAAATTATCGTGATATCAATAATGTCAAATGGAATATAAAAATAAAAAAGAGTAAAATAGAAAACTAAGTTGAAATAAACATACATTGTTATTCGAATTCGCGAATTCCCAAATTTCGAAATTATTTTGTAATAAAATCTAATATTTTTTAGTTTTTTAGGTTATTTTAATTTTTGATTTTGCGGCCACAAAATTTATTTTATGGAAACTTTAATTTCCATATCGTATTAATGCGATACTAAAATTATGCTATTTATATTAAATAATTATTGTATTTTTAAGTTTTATTATTGTTATAAATTATAGTAATATAAATTACTACTAAACTTAACACTCAACACTATACGTAGTATTATTCGAATACCGTAAAAGTAAAAAATAGTAAAAAATAGTAAAAAAGATAGTAAAATAGAAATCTGAGTTGAAATAGACATCCATTGTTATTTGAACTCGCGAATTCCCAAATTTCTAAATTATTTAGTCCCTCTAATATTCGTAGCTCTATTTTAATATTATTTTTCCAATTCATTTTAATTTTTGATTTTGCGACAACAAAATTTATTTTATGGAAATTAAAATTATACTATTTATATTAAAAATACATTTTTAAGTTTTATTATTATTATAAAATATAGTAATATAAATTACTATTGAACTTAACACTCAACACTAAACGTAGTATTACTCGAATATCGAATGATGTACTTTTTTCGAAAAAAGAGATACTCAAAATTCATATTTATCTACATGATTTTATTACAAATACCCAATATTCTCTATGAAAACGTATAAATTTCAATTTCCAAGAGCATATAATCCCATGCACCAAAAATTGTCTCTACTCTCAGTTATGTAAAACAAAAATTTTTGTCACATGTATCACATTTTCTCTACATACTCTATAGATCCAAAAAGACTTACCGTTTTAGACGAAACGCAGGTGTCGTTCAAATAAAGATGATGCGTTTCCCACCTCCTCAAATATTTACTCGACAGAATCTTCTTCACGAGGTTTGTATAATTCAAAAAGCACACTTGAATGTCTCCCTCCTCTATCGGCTTAAACCTAGGCCCAACAGGGCCTGGACTAGGACTAGAAGCAGAGGACCCACTGGTCGGCGAACACCCAGCACTCTGTCTCTCTAAATTTGGGCAAGACCTCGCGGCAGGCAGGGAAAACGTGCTCTCCTCTGGCTTCAGCGTGTCTATCCTGGAACTCTTCTCCGCGTTGAAGGAGCTGCACTTGTCAACCGGTGTGGATTCAGCGCTGGATCTATGATTGCTATCCGAGGACAACTGCGGAGAGCTAGTACTGGTCATCTCCTGACGCATGGCTCCGCCATTCACGCAGAGGAAGTTGTAATAAGGCGCAGAGGACGTGGACAAACCTCCGGTGGATGGACCAGCAGGACTCAATGGCAAGGAGGAGCCCTCCTCCGTCTCCGTTTCCGTTTCCTGATTAGACGCATTCTCCTTCTCCGACTCGCTGAACGCGTTCTGCAGAGAGGTTATGTCGTTCTCGGAGACGGTAGAGACTCTGGAGCTCCCGAGAGCCTCCTCATCGGGATCCACGGAATCGATCAACACCGACGGCGACGAGTTGGTGAGCAACTTGGTCGTGGTGTCTCCCGTTTTGTACTCCGTCTCCTCGTCCTCGCGTTCTTTATTCGAGACAGGTGACTCGGCTACGATGGAATCGTCAACCGCGTCCAGACTGTCCTCTTTGTTGTTGGTCGAGTCGGAGGAGTCGGAACGTAAACGGAGAAGCAGTTTCTTGCATCGTCTGTTACTGTACGACTGCTTCTCCAAGGAAGAGGATGGAGCGACGCAGTGACTCTGTTGGTTGTCGTCCAAAGACGCGTTGCAATCGTTCGACTCGTCTATCCCATTCTCCACGACGTCCACAGAAGCTGGTGCTGTGAGGGAATCTGGCCCAGGCGACAACGTCTCCGGGTCTAGGTAATCTGCTTTGATATCCGGGAGCGTACTGTCCGTGCTGCTGGTGTCTGAAGCTACGGGTTCCTGGTCTATATACCCGATAGAAGAGCCGGAACCTTCGCTAGTCGCTTCCGAGTCTTGTCTCTCGCACTTGGGGTTCGAGGTCTTGCTTACTGGGAGGATCATGCTCATGGAGGAGGCCTTCGTTTTGCTGGACGACAGGGAGAACACGAGCACGCGTGAGGCGCGTGTGAACGGCGTCTGGAAACAAAACATGTCGAGTTTATGATTCCACGTTCACGCGAGACGTTGGTTCTTGTTCTAACGGCACCTATTTCTATTGGAAATTCCGTTGAAAATGCTGGCCCGTCGACGTTGATCACACCGTGCTGCTATCCGCCGATGACCCAATTTGGCCCGGGCCGTTTTCAGATTTGACGTGGAACTATCGACACTGGGCGACGAGATCGGGGGGCAAGAAAAACCAGGTTTCTCAGCGACGTGAGAAACCGAGTAGGAAGGAACCTTTGTCCCGAATTCGTCCGCGCGAAAGGTCCGCGCGTTCGATGTCCCAATTTCCGTCCACCCGCTCCTAGAATCCCTCGAAGCGCGTCAATTAAGCTCTCATGGATCTCGAGCGACCTAGAAACGGTCGTTCACCGCCACCCCATTCAGACAAAGCGATTCAATGAGCACGAGGTAAGAGCCCAGCAGCAACGTCGAATCCACGAGTCTTCGCGCATTAAGACATACTGATTTCCTGTCTGCACACCGGGAAACCCTTAAAGATGGTTGTTAGCCTGGCCGAGTTGAACGTTTCGTCCACGCATCGCAGCTGGCCACGGCACATCTTGCCAACGGAGAAACAGCGCGCACCACTCTTATCTTCTAGTCCCTTTTGTCTCTCACTCTCTCTCTCTCTCTCTCTATCTATCCTCTGTCCTCGTGATTTTTCAATCGTCACTCGCTCAATCGAACCACGAAACTCGCACGGAAACACTCGCGCAGCGACCAGCACGTTTCTTCCTCTGGAAAAAAAAGAAGAATATATAGTTCACGCGGCAAAGAAGTGTCGGTTCGCGTGCTGCGTGCGCCAGTTCCTCTGTCTCTCTCCGTTCCCCGCTGTCTTTCTCTGTCTGTCTGTTTCCACGGCGAAACGACAGGGAACACGAAACGCGAGCACCGAGTTCGTCGACGAATTCTTGTTCTGGACGCGAGACAACGAGTCGATGAACGACGAACGAAAAGAGCGAAGGAGAGAGAGAAACAAAGGGGAAGTGAGGAGAGAGAGAGAGTGAGAGAAAGAGGGAGGCATGTTTCCGACGTGACGCTTAAATGTCTGACACGATTGTGAACAAGCACAGGTGGGGACGCGCTGGGGTTAAGAAAAGGAGAGAGGGCGTCGCGGCGCTCGGCGTCTCGCGGTCGATCAATGACTAGTCGCGAGTTTGCTTCGAATTATCGCGTTCCCTCTACGCTTCCCTTTCCATCTCTATCTCTCACTCCCTCTCCCTCACTCTCCCCTCCTCGGTCTCTCTCGCGCGCACTCTCACTCTCTCTCTCTCTCTCTCTTTTTCTTTACCTGCTTTCTTTTACTCTCTTTCTCGTATTTTCTATATTCGCTTTTCTCGTTACTGTCACTTAAACATTTCCATTTTGTTCTTCACGTTCTATTTCTCTTTTGAAAAGTTCCGTTCTAAATGGTCGCCGAGAGAAATCGCGGAAAGTAAATTTGGCTCGTGTCTGGGGTAAATATACCGATATCGCTTAAAATTATTCAAAGGTTTTCCCGAAAATAGTCCTCGCCGAATTTCCCTGCCTCTTTTTCCACGTCCATTCGCAGGATTCCTATTTTTATGCGATTCACAATAGCGTGCACGTTGTGCGCAGACAGAACGTCGACGTGGTTAATGAGGTTATGATACATTGGCTCCTCGTTTTAAGGGGCATTTCCACGATTTGGGTAGAAATAATCGATTCCCTCTCGTCTTACTTTTCTTTTGGGGAAAATAACACGTAGAATATGTACATTTACGCGGACCGTACGTTTTATAATATTTTCATCCCGATATCATAGTTTATGATCTATAAAATATATTACGATATATTCTATGCGATATTCTAGAATGTTATCTATTTTTATTATATCGTTATATAATAGTTTCACGATATCGAATATTTTTATTTTTATTACGACTCCGTGATATATTTTGAAATATATTTTATAAAAAAAATTCAAAATATGAATCGGCGTAATTATTTTTTAATATCACGCTGTATATCGATATTTTGAAAAAAGAATAAATATATTTGAAAACTTGAAATTGGATATACTTTGTATCACTGATATCGGATATTTAAAGAAAATTATTAATTTTTTACTCGAATTCTGTTATTGCAACGTAATCGTAAACTCTTTCGAGTAACTCTTAAATATGTAATAAGTATTTTAAATATTCGACGATTTTAAAATAGTTACGTATATTCCGTGCTAGATCGTTGAGTAATACTGTAAACTTATTTCGTCAGAATCGTGCACGTGCTTTCCGTTACACGCCATGTGACGCTTAAATGAAGCGAGAATTCAAAATTGGCGCCAAATTGCATTCGTATCAGAAACCCGCTAAACCTACAAATTCGTAATACAGGAAGCTGATAAAAGTTAAAACGTGTCTTATTTCGTACTATTATCTTCATAATTCCTATTTAATAACGTTTTTACATTATTGCAGAAAATATATCAGCCATCAGATAAAACGCATTAAAAAATTTCAAATAAATAATGACTTTCCGTGACAATGATTAATGTTCAACAATTGATAATTACTTTCGACACATATCAGTTACGAATATTCCGAAATATTATCGAATATCAATTAATTATCAGTTCGTTCAAAATTTTTAATCGGGATTTGCTATTAAGAAACGAAACTTACGCCATTTTGTAATTAAAACGTACGAAGGAACATCGCACGTTCACTTCGATAAACGTAATTTTATAAATATAGCAGCGATAAATGTTCATTGTCAGCCAGTGAACCAACGAAATTCGCTTTCTCGCTTCGAGGATACCGATTCCAAAGACAATCTCATTAACTTCGAACTTTATCCCATTACATAATCCAGCGCATCATCCCCGATAAAATATGTCGATTTTCACTTGAACTTGAACAACTCGATAAAATTTATTCCTCGTGCCACGCTCGAAGATCGATCGTATCTCGTTTTACAGGAAATAAAAATTTTCGTTGCAACGTTGGCGAATATTCGAAATTAGCATACGAAAGTAAAAAAAGAAAAAAAAAATTAGAAAAGTCGAACAGAAATCGTTATTTTTAGTGTATCGAGCCGGTGCGACTGTTCACCTCAGATGACGACATCACCGAAGAAGTCACGTTTCGATGATGCAAAGAATGACATATACGACATGTGAACTCGGCTGAAAAATACCAACGGATTTATTACGCTCAATCGGAAAGCGTACGTAATTACGAGACTTCGTAAAATGCAGAGAATTTTATGAGAAAATAAAATAATTAAACGAGGATAATGGAAGCTTTCTTTAAATATTTTTCGTCCCTTTCTTCCATTTCTTTTGATTCTTTTTTTTAACTTTATTTTCAAGTTTTTCTTATAATTTTGAGAAGAATAAAAATATTTCAATATTTTGGAATATTTAAAAAAAATAAAAAATTAAATATAATTTTTTAATTATATTCAAAATATTCCCATAATACTCATGTATAAACTATAATTTTTATTTTTCTCAAAATTATGAAAAAAGTTTGAAAATTAAAAATTTAAAAAAATATCAAAAGAAATGGAAGAAAGGGATACAAAATATTTAGTCAAAAACTAACGAAGTTTTCTTCAAATATTTTTGTATCCCTTTCTCTCATATCTTTTGAGTCTCTTTTCTAATTTTTTATTTTCAAAATTTTTTTATAATTTTGAGAAGAATAAACATATTAAAATATTTCGGAATATTTTAAAATTTATGGTTTACATATGAGTATTATGGAAATATTTTGAAGGATGTTAGCAGTTAATTTGATTTTTAATAGTATTAATAAAAATATTTAGTAAAAATGTAACAATTTTGATATAACAGTTATGTAATATTTTGATAACGCTATTTTTAAATTTAGTTTAAATCTATTCTCTTTTATTTTGAAATATTTATGTGATATGATATCTAGTCTAAAGAGAGCTAATTAAAAATAGAACGTTTAAAAATGAAGAGATAATATCATATAATATTAGATTTTTTTTATATATCAGAAAAAATACGTATAGAATAATATTAATTCATAGCTGATATGATAATCATTTTAAAATTATTTAAATAATTATACATAATGAAAGAAAATAAAAATTATTGCCATTTTATGTTATTTTATTTAAATAATTATATTATTTTGTAATTATTTTATTTTCTAATTATTTTAATTATATAATATATTATTATTTTGTTTACGTTATTTTTTTTAAAAACCTGATATATTCCATTTTTCATTATATATATGTTAGTTAATAAATACAATTGCACAAAATCAATAATCTACAAATTATGACTAAAACAAAATTTATTGAAATCTGTCAGAGACTATTTTACCATTTTCGAATCAACACAAATAAATTTTAATGTTGACATATTATTAATACATATCAAAAATAAATTATTCTTTAATTAACTTTAATGTATCTAATTCCATTTTATTTAATTAAACTGTTCTTCAATTAAAACCATATTTTAATATACCTTTTTCGAAAAAGTATGTTCAATATATGATAATGTGATTTCTCATTTCAAAAAATTGCAAAAAAAAAGTGAAAATTGCAAAAATCTATCGTACTATTTTACCATCGTAATACTTCGCTTAATTTATACATGCATTGCATCATATAACATGATTTGAAATCACTGCGTGCTAAACTTAGCAATCATTTCTATATACCTATTTCTATCAAACCGATCAAATGATTAATTTTTAAATACAAACTGTACATTTTACAACCTAATAGTTGTAAAACAAATAATCGTTAATTTAGTCCGAACAATAATAAATAATTTTAAATAAACAATAAAATGAATAAAAATAATAATAAAATAATTTTTTGATAACAACAAAAGAAATTACTTTTTCCATCTAGAACAAAAAATAGTAAAGTAAAAAATAGTCATATAACTTTGTATACCCGGAAAATAAATAATAAGGGAATAATAAAAATAGTAATTAATTTTTAAATAACAACAAAGAAATTACTTTTTTCCTTTAGAACAAAAAATATTAAAATAAAATATAGTCATATAATTTTTTGCACTTGCAAAATAACTGTAAATATATCATCATTGTCCACTATAGTTTTCGTAAATTAACTATGTAAATATTACAAACCTAATAAATTTAAGTTTCGTCATTATGCATTTTTCACAATTGCATATTTCTTGCAATTGAAATAGATTTCGATTGCCTCATTGTCTTCATAATATCCATTTGGCACATTCTAAAAAAGTATAAATTTTTCAACAGGTCATATAACCACTACTGAGGTCAAATGCATCAGGTTACACACGAATCTCGGAAGAAACGAAATAAGGAAAGAGATAGATACTGAAAAATTGATTATGTGCATATAAGAAAACACGTGAAATCGAGTGACGAAAGCGATAATGTCGAACGTAAATTTTTATCGAAACTTTAAAAACGGTCATTTAACCAACCATGATAGGCCAACGTAAGTTTAGCGTAGAAAAGTTTATCCTGAGATTAAACTAAGATAGTTTATATTTCTAAGAAAATGTAGCACATCCTCTTCTCATTTACTCGAAATTTTCCAAGTGATGTAATTGGGACAACCCTATTAAATATTGATATTATATATTAATATAATACGTTATCGTTTAAATTGTAATCAATATGCATTAATTATAACATATTAACATAATATTAATCGTAATTTAACATTAACCTATGGAACGTGAAACTCATTCCTTGAATTCCAAGATAATTTCGTCAATAAATCGTTATCCAATGCGGAATACGATAAAATACGTCATAAAACGTAGAAATATCGCACCAACACCGACAATACGTTACTAACCGTGTTATTTCGGAGTTTACTCGACTTCCCGCCAGATGGCGTTCGCATAGGTACGTACAGTTTAGAGGGTATCTCGAAGTAACATAAATAAAGGAAGCAGTTTATATAAACACACGTTCATTATCAATTCTTTTTCAGATTTAGTGATATTACTGTTTGTGAAACTGCATAATGTGTTAATTGAAGCACAAAACGTCGAGATTTGAAAATTCCAACGATTAAACAGTTTATTTGCAAGTGAGACGAGCAAGAAAAATATCGATTAACAAAATTCAAAATGACCGCCTAATTCAAATGTTCATAATTCGACAAG